AGTTGCGGGATGAAGCTTGAAGACTTTTGAAAAATCTAAAGAATCAAAGGCGTGGCGGCATGGATGACTCTTGAAGACTAACAAAACAACCACAGGTGCTTGACTCACTTGAAAAAGGGGTAAGTTAGCTTAACCTGAGATTTGGCATTCGAGTCTTAGGATATGTAGCTACATAATTTCCCGATGTGAGGTACCACACTTCTCGAGGTGGCTCGAACTGATGTTGAGCCGAATTAGTCTGGATAAAGCTTAGGATACTGGTGCGCAAGCAAAAAAAAAAAAAAGGCTAACAAAACAGAGAAGGATATTTTGGTATTTTCCCTAAAACATATATTGTCCGATCTCTTCCCAAGCGTGATCCCTTGTGGGTTTTAGGGAGAATCTCATTTAAAACTCCCAAAACACAAAATATTACATTTCAAGCTTAATAGAATTTGAAAATGCACTATAGGCTTGGGAGGTTTTTTTTTTTTACAAATTTTGTTATGAATAAAAAGACGCAACGTATAAAAAAAGATGCAATTGCTCTTGTCTCAAGAGTATATTTATGTATGCACAACATAATATCTACAAATTTTAAATATAATATTTGTGAATGCATGACACATCTGGTGGGCATGGTTTTACCTAAAGTAAAATATACAAAAAGTAAATGATGAATAACATAATATTCATGAATATACAACATAATAAACATATATAGACTTGCAATATTTGTATAACATAAAGTTCATAATAAACAATATATTTCAGTTGAAACAACATGCTTCAAGTTAATGTTCACTAAATATGTTGCATATCATGAATATTGTATTGAGAATTTGTGGATATTATGTTGTATATTTATGAAACATTCTATTAAAACAAGAGCAAATGCGTCTCTTCATCCACAATAAAATTTGCAAAAAAAGCCCTTGAACTTATGGCGTAAATTTTTGTATTTTGAGAGCTCGAAGTGAGATTCTCCCTAAGTTTTATGCTAACTCTTGGGACTTCTACTCAAATAATATTTGGATATTTTGACCCTCGTGGCCAATTTTCTCAAATTTATAATGTGCCATGTGTTATTTAATTTATATAAGTAGAAGACAATTGGTAGTGATGACTAATTAACCATAGTGAAAACAAAATTATAATATTATTGGTGCTACATGCTTATAGCAATATTCAACGGGGCTCATCATCATATACATGCGACCTTTTTTTTTTCTACATGAAACATTTTTATTATGGTTTCCTTTCGTTTTTAAATTACATTTTTTGGTTAGTTTAATCCCTTCCCTTTTGGTTAAAGCATCCGATTTCCCATTTCTCAAGTCAAAAATAGTGCCCCAACGCGTAATTACAGGCCCCACCTTTTAAATTCCAGCTGGGTCGTGTTATTTGACCCAAATCAATTCAGATTAAATATTCACAACGTGACACAAGAATAGTATTTTAATTCACGCATTATATAAAATAAAAGTTATTTATCAATAACTAATGGTAATTGGGCCAAATGAAAGGGAGTGGATCAATATATTCCTCTGAGTATAGGTATGAATGTTATTTAATTTATTATAGTTATCATTTTAGAAAATGACAATTAGGGATCTCAGTAAAAACATTAATAATAATTACAAGTTTTGAATTATTGAAATCTCAACAAGAGATTATGATCTTTACTTACAATAAATTATCTTTTGTGGATTGGCTTCAAAGTCACAACAAGCTTTTAAAAATTTCTAACTAATGATGCTATAAAGAATTCTCAATTTTTTTTATTGATTTTTCAAGCAATAGTAAAAAATTACAAGTAAGTGGCTTATGATTTATAATTAATTTTCATAAATTTCTAACTCACACTATAGATAATCCTCAGTATATTTTTTGAATTTTCTCAAACAATTTATCCATATATTGACAGCAAAAAAATCACACATGATTAGTTTATAATTCATAACTAACTTTTAAAAATTTTTAACTGACATTATAAATAATTTTAAGCACATTTTTTACTTTTTTAAATAATTTATCTATATATTAATATTAAAAAATCAAGCTTCACTAGTTATAATTGACTTTCATAAATTTCTAATGGACATTACAAATAATTCTATATGTACTTTGTTAGTTTTTCAATTGACTATTTGCATAATTTTAATTGCAAGTTAGGAGTTAGGACCGTGTGTGTTATTGAGATTTTTAATAATTTAAGATTTGTAATTGTCATTAATATTTTTATGGGGTTCTTAATTATCATTTTCCTAATATTAAAAAATAAATAATCCATTTTTTGTGCATAATTGTGATGCCGTTAGCCCACCGTTGTCATATTTTGTGATGGGTCATGTTTTTGAAGATTGATTTGATTAAAAAATAAATGAATAAATGTCAGACTGCGGTGAAATATAAATTTAATTTGAAAAAAATTAATTTGTAAGTTTTTCTAATTCTTTAATTTTAAATTAGATCCTTATCATTTATTTTATTTTAATTAAACTCTTATTACTGTTTGATCGGTTGAATGTATCAATCCCTAAATGTTAAACTCATTAAATTATTTATTTTAAAAAATAAAATTAAGAACTTTTATATTTTTATTAAAACATTTTATGACTTTAGAATTAACGACATAATTTTTATAAATAAAAATTTATGTAAATAGATTATATTTTTTAAATATTGTTTACATATATACAAAAATTTCATAAAAAATGAATAAAAATGTAATCATTATATTAAATTAGCTTTTCTTTTTGTTTTTTTAGCTAAATGTGTTAATCAATTTTTCTATAAATTTTAAAAGTATTTTTGTTTTGAAAATATAATCATTAATTAATAATCTTAACCTTTAAATAAAATAAACAACAAATATCTAATTTAAAATCAATTAAAACTAGAAGAAATTGCACATTATAAATATTGACAATGATTAGAAAATATTTTAAAAAATATAAACTATAAAAAATCTATTTACGATGACAAAGATATAGCATGTTTGTCATGTATATAAAAATGGTTTGGGAGACATTACATTAATTAGTCAGAAAAAATGATAATCGTTCCGATTGATCAGTAATAACCGTTTGTTTTTAGTGGAAAAGATTAGCAATAACCTTTAATAGATAGATATAAAATTTTGTTAATCTTTCCCCATTTGTCTGTTCTGTTTAATAAACCCATATAATATGTTCTTGCATTCTTCGCTCAAGAATTTTATAAAACAAAATGTGTTATTCTTCTTAACAAATTTAGAATAAATGTTGTATTGAAATTTCAATACACTTACAATTTTACACCCTCAATTCCTTGTGCTGATTTGTTCTCTTCCGTGTGTAATTTAAACTGTTCTGAACTAGAAATATTAAAAAAATAACAAACAATGAAAATATACAAAAAATCGATCGAGAAGATATACTGCATATCTGGCAACCCAATCACGATGGGATATTCTTAATGCTAGGAATCAAAAGAGAACTAATCCATCCAAATATTTTTTCCACAAATATAAATAGAGATTTAAATATTTAAATGATGATCACTGTTAAAAAAAATCTTTATCAAAATAGTTATGATAGATGAGGGCAATCAAATCAAACATTATTTATCCTTATAAATATATTGCAAGAAAAGAACACAATGTATCTTCTAATCCATTACTCAATTGAGATTCCTCAACAAGAGTAACTTTTTGATGGATATAAGAAAATCCGTTATGGCCAATAACTTTGTAGCCTAGTAGCTTGTAACCTCATGCTTGACCCTTTAGTTCAAAATAAATTTTGTGATTGAGACACATTTCATTTTAATTATTGTAATCTTGTATTTATTTAAAATTATTGTTATCTTTTCATGATTTCATCAATTATGCTTATTTTTACATTTAATTTTAGGATGTCTATAATATTGTCCTATTCAATTATAAGATTAAGGTTTGGGCCTTATTGACAAGAATTATGAGTTTCACTCTTCTGTACTTAATTCTCTCTTTCTGTCTCTTCTCCCTTTCCCCATTCTGCCTTACTTTTTCTTGTCTTTTTTGCATCCCTAACTAAGTTTCTACAATCTCTATAAACATCCTAGTAATTTAGGCATGAATTGTTGGTGCTTGTTTTCCCTCTCGCTGATTTTCATTTTGGCCAATTTGTGGTGTCTGCTACCTCTTCCAATATCTAACATTTCAGGTAATGATAAAGAAAAAATTCATCTAATTTCTCTAAATAAAGGCTGAGATTTTGAGCATTAGGGGGTGGTAGCAAAGGAGACAACAAATATCCTTGGTGTTCCTAGGTTTACGTTATATTTATGATACCTTTATTTGATGTAATTTCTAGGAAAACACAGTAACAAGTCTGAGAAGAGGGAGGATACAAACCAAAGCTAAGGCAAAGTAAAAAATCAGAGAGGCAAACTAAGTTTTAAGATCTTCCTCAACATCTTATCCACCAGATGATGATAAATTTTCTCCCTCATGGGGACTCAACCAAAGTTGAGTGTTTTATCCTATGAAGCATTGATATAAGTAGGAGTATCAAATATGATACAGTACGATTTGTAGACATGGCAATTTTTAAAAATTTTAGGATACGAATACAGCTATATAAATAATTAAATATTAAATATTTAGATACACACATATTTTAATTTTATAATTTTATATTTAAAGTCAACAACTATAATTTTAAAATGTCTAATGCTATAACAAAATACAATACAATAAGCAGTTAAGCACTTAAGTATTATCAAATGAAAAAAAATAATCAACTTAAATTAATTCTTATCTTTTTCATATTTATTGACACCACTACTCTTTTCTATAAGTTCTCTCTCCACTACACGGATCAATGTTTAACTCAATAAAATAATCCATCTGAAATAAAAAAAATAAATCAGTAATATTATTAGATTGACAATCAATAAGTCAGTAATATTCTAGGAAGCAAGGATATTTTTTTTAAAGCAACATTTAAAAAAACATTTTTTTAGAACAACAGCATTGAGGACTTGAAGAAGAAGCGTCGAGGCTTGCGGTCTTGAGTATATGGGAACGCCAAACGCCAAAAGTGACAGAGTGTAGGAGAAGAAGATGAAGAAGAACAACACAGGAGAAGAAGATGAAGAAGAACTACCTCAGACTCGGAGAGACAGAGCGATGAATCACGGGTTGAAGAGATAGAGCGCCTTGACTAATTAAAGAAGCACCGTGGGTGAAGCGACAGAGCTCGGAGTGACTAAAGAGACAGAGAACCGTGAGCCGTGACTGAAGAAGGATGATGGTCAAACCTTGGAGACACAGAGCAAAGCTCACGTGAGAAAGGGGAAAGGATCGACTGGAACTGGACGAAAGTTAGGGCTTTTGATTTCTGGAAATGAGAAAAAAAAAAAAGGCTAAAATGCTAAGTTTTGGCTACAACCTGTCTCCGCCCTTTTCCGATTGAAACTGGAAAAGTAGATGCGCCGCTTCCACATCCTGTATCTGACACGGACACATCGGCATTTTGCACGTATTCGTGCTTCCCAGGTTTTATCCAAAGCCTTTTATTCTTTGTGGCTTTCCTTTCCTGCACTTCACTTTGGCTGCACATTCTTTCAACAAGAGAAAGACAGGCCACATGATAGCTTCACGTCTTCCATACTCAAAACCCTCCACCTTTGTTGTCATCGTCACATGTCTTTGCAAAGGTTATGCGTATTTTACTTTGATGGGTGTTCAACCTTCAATATGGTATTTGATGTGTTAAAATAATTCACTTTAATTTTAAATAAAATTATTTTAATACTTAAGAAAATTTGATAGAAAATCTAACGGGCATATTGAAATTTTATATTACTTCCATTTTAAATATAAGAGAAACTACTCTATGTTTCTTTATTTTTATCATAAGAAAATTACAAAATTTAAAGAAGCATTAATTATATTTTTCTCAAATTATCCCTCATATATGAATGGTATCATTAAATTAGAGGGAAAAAATAAACATTAATTACAAGGATATTTTAACCCAAATATTTCAATTTCAAACAACATTATTCTGATCAATTAATTTTTTAGATGCTGTGAATCAGTTGAAATTTTCCAATATTAAAAAACAGAGGGGGTGGGGAAGTTGGGAAGGTATTATAATAGATGAGATGGTGAAAGAAAAAATCATCAATCATCAATCAACTAATCAACTAATCAACTATCATCAACTAATCAACTAATCAACTAATCATCAACTAATCAACTAATCAACTAATCAACTAAATTCTATAAATCTCGTAGAATGAATCCGATTGGCCAAAAAAAACATCCTCTTTAATTGGATGATAGCCTTTTGTCATATGTAAATATCACAATATGATTGGTTTATCTCATTTAATATGATTCCAATTATAAAGTCTGGGTTATCCGTTTAGCATGCAGTCCCCTAATTTTCAAATTTCCTTTTCGTCGGGTGTAATGTAATTTGCTAATTGCACGGAAGCATTACCTGCATTCGCACTTTCCCATTCTTCTTCATTTTCCTCATTTCTCCATGTTCTATCATTATTCCCATCGTTTCTATTCAAATTTCAAATTTCAAGATAATATCATCAGATCTGTTATGTTGTTTGATCCTCTCCATCAATTTTTTTCCCCCTCAAAATATGATTCTTTCCACCTGTCTTCTCTTTTTCTTTCCGCCCCAATAGGTTCTGATCTTATCTTCAATCTTCAAACAAAATGGAAGAAGTGAGGACAGCCATTGGAATCCAGGGCAATGTAGAATGTGTCGGTGCCAAAGAGGACGATAATGACTGCAGTGAGGCGATGAGAAGCTGAGAGCAAGTTGAAGTCATCATGGAGAGAAGGGAGGGAGCCGATGATCGTGAGGAAGCTAATCATTTTGATCTTTATAGTGCCGAGTAGGTTAGAGAGCGAGACTGGAGGAAGAAAGGCAAAATTTGAACCTAATTCTTTTATCCATATATTTCTTTTTTCGTGTTTAATCTCGACTCTATCTCTCCCATTCTTTGTCTTGGATTCAAATTTCAAATTTCAAAACAAAATCAGGTCTGTTGTTCTCTCAATGGAATTATTTTCACCCAAAACAGGATTCTCTCTCCTGTTGGTTGATCTTCTTAGTGAGAAGCATTGATGACTATATCAAGATCCCAAACAGCCTCCTGCAATTTGGTGACCACCTTCAAGGGACAAAGTGGTGTATAGATCATATGCAAGCAAAACTCATCTTTCAAGACAATTTACATCTTAATTAGTCTTCTTGTGTGCAAATACTATAGTGATTTGGCATCAATTTGTATTTTATTAATTTCGGTTTGTTAACTTCCATGTTTCTTTTACTATATACGAGCATCTTAAGATTATAGCCTTTTTTTTGATGATTATACCTTTATTGGTTACTTTCTTAGATTTTTCTTTTAATTTTGGAGTGTCAAGCATGTAATAATTGCTATAGTAGTATCTGTGAATTTTATTTTGCTAGAACGTAGTGTGTGTTGAATTCATAACGGCCACTAAGACAAATGGTCAACATGAGGAGGGAATTTGGGTTTATACAGAACATCTTATACTAATAAAGTTGCATATCAGTGCAATTTCATTTTATAGTATCATAGTACTCAGACGTCACAGTGGTGACATCAAATGGCTATTTTCTATTTTACATTTTTCATTACAATATCTAGCACTACATCACTGAAATTCATTTAGGGGCCCAAAAAAAATCTTGGATTAGGAGTGGGTTCCACTGCAAACATTAGAAATACTCAAACCATTCAAGGAAATGCCACTCTTGGGGGATTCCCCATTGCTTGACCAGGTACTGGGGGTATGATGCCTAGAATGCCAAGGACTAAGAAGATACCATGATCTTTTTCTCTGATCTTTTATGTGGACTTGCATCTTTTCTTAGGGTTGGGGATTTGGGTGCTCTATTGGTTGAAACTTGGCAAAACTTAATGTGAGCTATGAGAAAGGCAATGACATTGCTTATGTTATTAGTTGAAATTAGCAAAAAGCTTGAGATTTTTAGAATTATAAGGAGGATAGCAAGTTTTTTCCATCTTTTATTGAAATTTTAATAGGCGTGTATTAATGTTTACATCTAAATTATTTTTTCTCAATTATCTCATGTAAAAACCATGCAACATACGAGATTTAATCCAGTTTAGAGATAAACGAAGTGGGTTTTGATAGTTTAAAAATAATAGGGAAGATCATTATAAAGTCCCAAGCAAGCAGTCTAACTGCCTTAAAATCAACTAATTATAACGTGGTTATAAATAAGGTAAATGTGTATTTTTACTTTTAAAATTTTGTTGAGGAGCATGCAGCACCTTAAACTATTGGTTAGAATAATTTTTCATTTAAAATAATTAAAATAAAATACTTTTACCCTTCTCATTAAATTCTTTAATAGTCAACGTTGGAGTTTTAGTTAATATTTCAAACGGTTAACATAGAGAATTTGGTGGCAAGGGCAAAAATGCTTTGTTTTAATTATTTTAAAGGTAAAATTGTTTCAGCAAATAATTTAGGATGCTAGGCATTTCTTAGAAAATATTTTAGGGACAAAAATACACCTTTACCCTTATACATAAGATTTTGTGAATTGACCAAAATAGCCATGATTTTTATAAAAAAAGAAACGCCCAGGCCCAACACACGCCCACAGGCCCTTCTCCCCATCTTTATCTCTCCTAGCAACACCCTCGATCGACTATGGCAATCTGTGTTGCTCTTAATCTTATTCCTGAAAAATTGCCCAGTATAGGCTAAGGGTATAAATAACAAAATCATTAACAGAAGCTCCCTTCACTCAACAATTCCAATGACGTATCCTTCAAAAGTAGAGTTCTTTGGTTATAATCAATCAGCCGATTCCAATTCTCCTGTTGAGCACCGAATGTGCTCCCGCATTGTTCCTCGGTATATACGTTATATTTATGATACTTTTGTTTGATGTGATTGCTAGGTAAACACAATAACAAGGTTGGGGAGATGGAGGATACAACCAACGGTATAGTAAAAAATCCCAGAAGCAATACTAAGTTTGAAGATCTTCCTCAACATCTCATCCACCACATTATGATGAAATTTCTCCTTTACAAGGACTCAACGAAGTTGAGTGTTCTATCCAAAGCCTTTCATTCTTTGTGGCTTTCTTTTCCTGTACTTCACTTTGACTACAAATTCTTTGAACAACATGAAGACCCACATGACAGCTTCATGTCTTTCATCCTCAAAACCCTCCACCTTCGTCGTCCTCAAGGGCCATTGCGAAGGCTAAGCGTAATTTACTCTGAAGGGAATTCTACCTTCAATATGGTATTTGATGCGTTGCTGCACTTTGCAATAGAGAACAACACTAAAGAGATAGCCTTTTATGTAAGTTCCAAGCACAGCATCAATGTGAGATACGACTCGCTTCTCCGTCTAATTTCTTCACAATGCTTGACTGGGCTCAAGCTTGAAGGATTTATTAAATTTCCAATTGCTGATCTTATCATACTGTGCCCAAGATTGAAAGAGCTAGAAATCGCGAGAAGCGAAGGACTGCAAACTGTAACAGTTTCATCTTTGTCTCTGGAGAAGGCATGCATCGGTCATTCTTTAGAGTTAAAAGAAGTTCATTTGAAAACAAAGAATCTACGGTATTGCTCGTTTGTTGACCTTCCCCACCCTTGTGAAATCAACTTATCTGCTTGTGAATCCATAAAAGATATGCATGTATGTGGTGTAAAGGTCACAAAGAACTTGATAGAATTAGTCACTGGGAGGTTGAACATCAGTGACTGTGACATTCCTGAGAACCTGAGCATTCATAATCCTAGAATTAAAGACTTGCGGATGAATAGAAATGCTAAACTGGAGAACCTATTTCTCTTGGCTCCCAATCTAGAATGTCTTCGCGCCTATGAATTCGAAGGACAGAGACGGGTATTATACAATATCTCATCAGCATGCGCGGCTCTCAAGGTTTTGGACTTGATGGGAGTAACTGTAACTGATGAATGGGTGAGAAGTACAATATCAGAGTTAGGTTGTCTGAAGGAATTAAGCTTAAGTCATTGTCATGGGTTAGAGAAGATGGAGCTGAAAATGACAAGCTTGAGAGGTTGTCATTGAGGGGTTGCTCCCATTTAAAAGAAGTCATTGTTGATGCGCCAAACTTAATCCATTTTTACTATTGACAAAGCCGAATAATCATGCCTCCTGTTTATCCGATCGTGAAAATTTTATCAACCAAATGCAGTTCTGCCGAAATTGAATTACTATCTCGCTTCAATGATATTATAGATACTCACTCATGGTTCGGTAACATTATGCAGTTTCTCTCTTGTTTTGATCACGCCAAAGACCTCACTCTTACTAGCGGCAAGGCAAAGGTGCTAATTCAAAATCTATTGAAGAAATGCACTAAGTCTTTTTGTGTTTTAGTGATTCTTGATATTATTTTCATTTTTATAAGTCTCTCTCTCTCTCTCTCTCTCTCTCTCTCTCACAAAAACACACACACACACGCATGAAATAATTAAAATATGTCTATTTAGAAAACAAATAATAATCTCTTTCATTTGGCCCTTTTTTGTTAAAAAAATTAGTATTTGAAATCTTATGTGGGTTTGCTTTTGCTTGATTAATTTCCAAGATCTGACCTTTCCAAGAGAGTTCGTGAAAAATAATACATCTCCATTACATGATCTGAAGCATAATAGAGCACAAACTATACATTCTACACGAAATCAAGCCACTATGATGAAATTAGTGAAAAGTTTACTTTGGTTGGCGCATAAACCTTTGACAATTGCAATCTCCCACTACTGTTCCCGACCTAGAACCTTGAAGGTATGTTTTATAAACTTCTATTTACTTATCTGATTATCAATCTCATTCAATGAGTGTTTCATGTGATACTATAAGAAAATACTAAATCTTAATTCTGTATTTTAATCCAACGATTCATATGGCTGCAGGGAAATAAAAAGGTTGAAATTTATCATCATAAAATTGCTCTTTAGCTCAATATTTAATTTATTTCTGATCAAACATAATTTTTTAAGTGTTGATAAAAATCTATGAAATTATAGTGTGGTCACTTACTTACTAGATGAGAAGATTTGGGATACTCATAGAATCCAAGTGAGAAAACTACCACACACCTTTGCCCGTATTTACAAATTACAATCACGAAGTTTAATTGAGGAAGTCTTACACACAGTGTGGTGGGAAGACCAATGACACACAATTTCATTTGAGAAACTGATTTTTGATCATATTTAATTTATTGGGAGGCTCATGAACTTGCTGACACTTGGGTTGAATGCCAGATCATCTCACAGCATGTAGTTGCAATTTTAATTTATGTGTCAACTCATCTTCCTTTAGGATATATTAGATAACAAGCAATGATTGGTATGGATTATTTGAATAATGTAATGCAGTTTGAATATTATAAGAATGTGAAGAGGGGAAATATTGAAGAGACATGCTGTTCTGGAATTCCCACTAAATGCTGGCGACACTATGAACTCAAAGTACACATTGAAGGCTTCAAGTATGTGAGAAGCCACTTGGAAGAGTTCTTTGCTCATTACATGCATTGATTTTGACCTTTATATTTAAAATGTCAGATTCTTTTGGGTCCGTTTGGATTTCAGTTAGACATAATAGATTATGAAAATAATTGATTAAGTTATAGATTTTAATCATAATTGATTATGTTATAACGTAATATGTTTGGATACTGTTTTTTTAAAATTGATTTTAATATAATTGAAGATGTTTGGATAATTTAATTAGAATTAATTTTTAACTATATAAATTACTATATAATTTAATGTTTAAATACCAGATATCAATTTTTTGAAGATATAAAGTTTAACTTTTATTAAGAAAAAAAGGAAAAGAAGAGAGTTTGATTTTATTTTTATTAAATTGTGTGCTTTCTTTGTAATTTTTTTAGGCCTGTATTTGTAATTTTTCCCAACATTTTTGACAAACTTTTGACTGAAAGCCGATGGAGGGAGCTTCTGGAAAAACACGTGTTTTGGCCCATAATCAATTTTTGATCATTTTCGACTGTTTGGATAAATTGGCAGAAAAAATCAATTTTGGGTTCAAAACGCGCGTTTTCTTCTTATCCAAACAGGCACTTTGAAGACTGTAATATGTTTCAAATGTTATGAACACAAATTTAAAAAAAGAGAGCTTATTTCAAAAAATTATAGCTTGCTAGATTAAACTTATAAAATCTATTTCACTTGTAAGATTTTCTATTGAGGACTCATAAGATATTAAATCTCTTGGAATTTCTTTATAACTTCTCCTTATTTATAAGGAAGCATATTTAATTCATATATATATGTATATATAGATATAGATATATATCATAACTTTATTATAATAAGTTGTTAAAAAAATTAATCATTTGATCTTTATAGTTTTAACCTAGTTGTACTCAATCCCTAAACTTTGACTCATTATAACTTAGTTTTTGAAGTTTTAATTTGGTTGTAAACCAGTCATTGAACTTTGTCTCATGTAATTTAGTCCCTAAAGTTTCAATATCGCTCCTATATTTTAAAAAATAAAATTATAAAAATTAAAAATATTTTAAACTTTTAATATTTATAAATATTGAAAGGATTTAGTAATTTAAGATATTAGTAATAAATTTTAGAATATTTTTAATTTTTATAACTTTATTTTTAAAAATACAAGGACCAATATTTAAGAGGTTGAAACTTCAAAGACTAAATTGCAAAAGGCAAAGTTCAGGGATTGATTTTCAATCAAGTCAAAACTTCAAAGATTAAGTTATAACAAATTGAAGTTTAGGGACTGATTTACAATCGAGTCAAAACTTCAAAGACTAAGTTATAACAAGTCAAAGTTCAAGGACTGAGCTACAACTGAGTCAAAATTATAGGGACTAAATGATTAATTTTTTATAAGTTGTTTTATTCTCGAAGTTTGTTGTAGTATGCAAATTAAAGCATGTGACCCATCTATTCAACACATTTAATCATGTTTAAAATTTGGGGAGGGAACTTTACTTTTCCTCCATATTACTGTTATACTTTTGTAATACTAGAACAGAATAGAATAGATGTAGAAAGAGAATAGGAGGAGAGAAGAAGAGATGAGGTTTAGAGAAGATGAGAGACGAGAGGGTTAAGAGAAAGAGAGAAAAGAGAGGCAAGAACTTTTTGAATAATACCAAGTCTATTGATTAACAACACAACATAATAAAACACAAAAGTATTTATATAGCTGCTGAATATACCCAACGGCTAGTAACCAACCAACGGTTATACCTAATTAATAAAATGTCAAAATTACAAAAACATAACAATACCCCCCTTAAAAAGATTCGTGCCCTTAAGGATCATTAATAAGAAATTGAGGAAATTTTTGCTGTAACTGATATAGAGCCATCCAAGACGCTTCCTCATCAGGTAGTTGCTTCCATTTGATCAGAACTTCAGTGATAATACGTCCTCTCTTCCTACCAACTCTCTTTTGTAGAATGCTTTCAAGTTCCAAAGTTGGAGGTAATTCTAGCCAATCAAGAGGCGGATGCCTTTACTTAACTTTAGGATCAGGACATAGCTTTAATAAAGAAACATGGAAAGTTGGATGTATTCTAGATTCAGCGGGTAGTTCCAACTTGTAGGCAACAACACCTATTCATTCAATGACCTTGTAAGGACCAAAATAACTAGGAGCCAGCTTTTGGGTACTCCTTGCTGTTGTAAAAATTTGTCTATATGGCTGTAACTTAAGGAAAACCCATTGACCAACAGCAAGCTCTCAGTTTGTCCTATGGGAATCAGCTTTTTGCTTCATCAAATTAGCTACCCGATGAAGGTGATGCTTCAAAACAGCTAACACAGCTTCTCTAGCTGAAAAAGTCCTGTCTAAAACATCTAAAACAGAACCATTAGGCAAATAAGGACAATGGATAGGAGCTTTTTGACCATACAAAAGTTCGTGTGGGGTCGCTTTAGTGGCTGTATGAAATGTGGTATTATACCACCATTCAGCTTGTGATAACCACTTGCTCCAATCTTTGGGTTGCTCCTAACACATGCATCTAAGATAGGTTTCTAAGCACCTATTTATGACTCAAATTGCCTATCCGTTTGAGGGTGATATGCAGTTGAAAGTTGTTGTTTAATCCCCAAAACCTGTAAAAATTCTTTCCAAAACCCATCACAAATATAGGGTCACGATCACTTATAATTTCAGCTGGTGCACCATATAGTTTATACACATTATCCATAAAAAGTTGTGCTAGAGAAGAAGCTGAATAAGGATGAGTAAGAGGAATGAAATGAGCATACTTATTCATTCTATCAATTAGTACCCATATTGTGTCCTTACCATTTGATTTAGGAAGTCCTTCAATAAAATCCATCGTAATACTCTCCCAAACTCGACTAGGAATTGGAAGAGGTTGCAACAGCTTCATACTTACAACGAGCACATGTGTCACAGTGTTTAATGAATTCTATCACATTATTGACCAGCTTTTTCCACCAAAATAATGCCTTTATTCTATGGTAACTGGCCTGAATTCCAAAATGCCCTTCTTAAGGACTAGAATGCAACCACTCTAAAATTTGTTGTCTTAAACTAAAATCATTTTCAATCACCAGCTTTCCCTTCCTTCTTAACAATTCTCCATCCCAAGAAAAATGGCTCCAGAACCCATTGTTTGCTTGAACCCTTTTCTGGATTTTTATAATTACAGCATCATTCTAGCAACTTTCCTTGATTTTTGAAAGCAATTCAAGGGAGGAAGTGTCAAGAACCATCTGTAATAATTGTTGTTTGGGTAATCTCGATAAGGCATCAATTACAAAATTTTCTTACCCTTTCTTATACTGAATCTCATAGTTAAATTCGACTAACTTGGCAATCTAAAACATCTAAAAGGATGTTTTTAACTTCTATCCAAGCAAGTATTTCAAACTTTTTTGGTCTAATCGAATAACAAATTTTTGTCTCTCTAAATATTCGTGCTAATGAAGCACAGCTAACACTGCTGCCATCAATTCTTTTTCACAAATTGATAGCCCTTGATGTCTCTCTGCCAATCTATTACTGAAATAAGCAATAGGTTGTTCCTCTTGCATTAAAATTGCTCTAATTCTAACTCCACAACCATCTGCCTCAACTACAAATTGCTTTGAAAAATCTGGAAGTGTTAGTATAGGTGCAGAAATTAATGCCTTTTTTAGATTATTAAATGCATCCAAGTTTGTTTATGACCATACAAAACCATTCTTCTTAAGAAGGAGAGTTAAAGGTTTAGTTAAAATCCCATATTCCTTAATGAAACGCCTATAATAACCTGCT